GCTTCTCTCCTTGATTAGTTTCCACCCATTGCTTCTTGTCCTGCCCTCAGGTGCTTTCGAGAATAGCTTGACTCCCTCTTCTTTGTGGCAGCCCCTGAGATATTGGAACACTGCTATCATGTCACCCCTAGTCCTTCTTTTCCTTAAACTAGGCATACCCAGTTCCTGCAACCGTTCTCCGCATGTTTTAGCTTCCAGCCCCCTAATCATCTTTATTGCTCTTCTCTGCACTCTGCACTTCTCTGCACATTTGAGTAAAACAGTTCAGTTGTGATCTGCATATGTGGGTCTAGTTGGGGTATTTTGTGGGGGTAATACCGAAATCTGATTTGCATTCTTTATTCTTTTTATGTAACCTGTTTGTTTTATTCCATCTTTACCCTTAATAACATTCTGTGTTTCATATTCTATATTTTGAAGTGGCCAATTGGGTAATCAACCATAAAGTTACCAATAAAGCTACCTGAGAAAACAGGTGAACCTATGGCCACAGACAATGTACATGACCACGGTAAAGAGTTCAGTATTTCAGTTACCGTTGCTTCTTGCTTATCCACCACCTGAAGAGACAACCTAACTCTGCCCTATTCAAATCTATCAAAAGGATTTCTGCAGGAACCAAGAGGCTATCATTCAAACAGGGGAGTCAAAGAAATTTACAAGTTCCCATTTCTTTTCATGCTGAGAAAGAGGAGACTAAAATCCTTGGGGACAAAGGACCCTTCCTGAGATAAGAGAGAAAGAGGTAACAGATAGATACATCCTGTAAAAATATGTTGGCAAACAGAAGACTTTGTGACAGGTAGTATGTAGAAGATCCTTCTTATTCCTTGTCAAAAGAAACATTGATTAATTCTGTTCCTGCTGTTTTGGCTGCTGGGGTAGCTCTAAAACAAAACTGAAGAAATGAGAAGAACATTTCTACTCTCTGGTTGTTCATATCCACGAGATTCCTGGAAGTTGATTCCTGTGTGATATTTATGAAGACAGTCTCTGCTGTTGGGTTTTGTCTACCACCCGCAGAGCACAACTGTCAAGCATATATGACAGTTGGAAAGGCAAGGAGCTCAGAATTTGCTTAGATACCTCCATAGGGCCTTCATCATCCTGCTACACTGAATGAAAACTCTCCAACTGGTATGGTCATCTAGAAAGGGTGGGTTGATCTGGCCTAACAGTTTTGCATTCCTTAAATGGGTGAAGTCTTGAGTAGCAGGAGACAGGTTCTCCAGAATGGGAAGACATGCTGCAGATTTGGGGAGTGTTAGAATGTCAATTTTTGAATTGCCTGCCTAGGACTAGGTCTAATCCAGGGGTCTGCAACCTTAAACACTCAAAAGAGCCATTTGGACCCATTTCCCACAGAAAAGAAAACACCGGGAGCCACAAAACCCTTCTCGTGCCTGACTATTTGTTGAGCAGCCACAAAACTAGCTTATGTAGTTGAATTAAATGTTCTGTTTTCTTCTGAAACTTCTTTTCTTGGATTTATCCACGGTTGGCCTACCGGGGGTTGAAAAGTTCAATAAATCGTGTGCTGGTAGGTGTCGCACATTGGCGGTTGTGATGCATATTTTGAGTGACAGGGAGCCTCAGCAGAGGGGTGAAAGAGCTACATGTGGCTCCAGAGCCGCAAGTTGCTGATCCCTGGTCTAATCGTAGGTGTACTTGTTGAAAGGATGACTTAATTCAACTCTCATTTTAAAAGTATGAATTATAAAAAAGAAAAAAGAAGAGTTTTCCCCATCCGTTAAATTGAACATGACTCTAAACTGCAGATTCAGTAGAGACACAGACAACCTTATGGTGAGATATTCTATAATTTTCATAATGTTCATCCCTTCATTTAAAGTGGCACATATGGTAATCTGTGAGTTCTTGTTCTCTTGCTTTAGTGAGATGGCTTGAAGGACAAGTCTCACGTGGATAGTGCAATAACAGAGTTTGTTCAGTAGATGGTGTTTGACTTGGTAGATTCAGAGTTTCCTAGTTCTCCTGTTCTTTTGGAGAGAGTTCTACTCTTTTCTTACTTTTGGATTAATGAGAGTTTTCTGAGGCATATCAGTCTGCTCCCATCATTAGTTCTTCTCTCAGCTGGGATGAAATTCATTGGGAAAACTGACAGGCATTGCATCGTGATTGATCTTAATATGTAGCATGCCAGATGCAGAATCAAATCCTTCCTGTATTTTGCCACATACAAACCTGTTCCAAATTCCTAGAGCAGTTTTGGAAATTAGTCCTTTTGGTCTCCTATGTGTTTAATGATTTATAGACAGAATGTTATATTTACAAGAAGGAGGAGGAGGAGGAGGAGGAGGAGGAGGAGGAGGAGGAGGAGGAGGAGAAGAAGAAGAAGAAGAAGAAGAAGAAGAAGAAGAAGAAGAAGAAGAAGAAGAAGAAGAAGAAGAAGAAGAAGAAGAAGAAGAAGAGGAGGAGGAGGAGGAGGAGGAGGAGGAGGAGGAGGAGGAGGAAGAAAACCTTATGGAAAACATAATTTCTTAGTGGGATCTCTCTGTTGCCTAACTACATGATATGGTCACTTTAGAGAGGTCACTTGAAACAGCCTGTGCTCAGTTACTAGGCCCGTGATAGCGAACCTATGGCAGGCATGCCAGAGGTGGCACATAGCACCCTCTCTGTGGGCACGCGAGCTGTCACCCCAGTTCATTGCACATGCGCGCGTGCCTCCCACCAGCCAGCTGTTTCAGGTCTCTGCTGTGCATGCGTGGGGGGCGTGAAGGAGTGCCAGGTGCACATGCATGGGGGGGCGGGGGGGCCTGCCGGGGGCACACATGCCTGTGCGGGGGTGATGTGCTTGCACGAGGGGCATGCGTGCATTGCATTTAGGGGGTTCGGGCATTTTGGGCACTTGGTCAGGAAAAGGTTAGCCATCACTGTACCAGGCTATTGTTTATTCTCAATATACTTTATAATCCTGTTTCTTATTTTCCCCACAACCATCCTGTGAGGTGTATTGGGTTGGACTGAGAGAGAGAGGGACTGTCCCATGGTCATCCATTAGGCTTCATGCGTAATATGGTACTAGAACTCATGATCTCCTGGTTCCTATAAGCCAGCACCTTAATCAAACTGGCAGTCTTACGACGCAAAGAAATTGTAACTCTCTACTACACTGTTCCTCAAATAAATAAAAAAATTGGGGCAGCGGGGGTAGGTGAATGGGCGGAGAGGCCTATATTTGATCTGTTCCACATGGGTATAATGTAATATTGTTATATATATTATATATATATACCTGTTATATTCCATTTATCATGATAGCAATCTTACAAAGCAGCAATATTTTACCTGGAGAAGTTCTGTTTGGAGTATAGGTGTCCAAAACTCTTTGTTGGCTTATTTCTAACACAACTGCTGTCTTAATATTCATTCATTCATTCATTCATTCATTCATTCATTCATTCATTCATTCATTTTGTATATGAATGAATATACAAAATTCATTCAAGCTCATGACTCTGGGCAGTCAACAGTTCTTACAAACAAGATTTCAACAGCACAGAACAAAATTGTAAATACTTTTGGCACTGAAAACAAAATGGCAAGGTCAGCAAAGAATGGAGGCAACTCATTGTTCAAATATCTGGATCGGTTCTTCTAATGAAATTAAAACAGCTGAATGAGATCTCTAAGGATTCCCTTTGCTCTCACCAAGATATCATACTGTCCTCTGGAATTTAGACACAAGACGAAGTGAAAACATGTAGTTCTGTCAAGGAAGCTGGTTAATCCAATCTATCTTTTGCACCAAGGGAGAAGTAGCTTCTGAGTTGCATAGCTAGATGTGGAGTAACTACTTCTTGTTTAGACATTTTTGTTGTTGCCTCTAATATTTTTGACACATTCAATTTTCTTACCATGTTTCTTGCCATGAGTAGCAAAGAAATGCTTCACCCACTGGAAATGCCTCTGTTTCCAGCATGAAGTGTTCAGGGTGTACTGGCTAAGATCCTGATACTATAAAAAGAAGGGCAGCTGTTAGACCATGTCTGTTTTCAAGAGGACTGAAACGGGGGCTTTAACTAGCGAATAACTTTTGCTTCCTAACGTGCGTAAAAAGAATTGCTCTAAATCCCTCCCTTGCTTTCTGTGGGGGTGATTCCACAGATAAAACGGATCCCAATTAAAATTATTCAACACTGTTGATATTAGGGAATTCTTCTCCCAAATCGTTTCTTTTGCATCTGATGCGAAGAGCATTCGTAGGCCTGGAGAAAAACACAGGTGTTCCCTCACACCTGCTTGAGTTGAACATTTCATGGGCTTGTCTTGCCAGGGAGGCATATTTGGGCATCCTTCATGGACCCTCCCCCCCCAACCTCCCCAGCATTGCTGGTTTAAGATTTTGGCCTCCCAGGAGTTCTTCCTTTTCAGAGAAGAGCAACCAAGATGATTAGGGGACTGGAGGCTAAAACATATGAAGAACGGTTGCTGGAATTGGGTATACCTCGTTTAATGAAAAGAAGGACTAGGGGAGACATACTACCAGTGTTCCAATATCTCAGGGGCTGCCACAAAGAAGAGGGAGTCAAGCTATTCTCCAAAGTACCTGAAGGCAAGACAAGAAGCAATGGGTGGAAACTAATCAAGGAGAGAAGCAATTTAGAACTAAGGAGAAATTTCCTGACAGTCAGAACAATTAATCAGTGGAACAACTTGCCTCCAGAAGTTGTGAATGTTTCAACACTGGAAATTTTTAAGAAGATGTTGGATAACCATTTGTCTGAAATGGTGTAGGGTTTCCTGCCTAAGCAGGGGGTTGGACTAGAAGACCTCCAAGGTCCCTTCCAACTCTGTTATTCTGTTCTATTTATTCTATTCATTACTCTTGACTGGAGAGGAGCAATTATTCTCCTGCAGGGCAGTGGCTGCCAAGGGAGGAGAGCCCGGGGGTGGGGGAGAGCTGTGGCTTTAAGGGATCCACCTTAAGGAAACGCCTGCCCTTCCCCTCCCTTGCCCTGAATAGGCAGCGTCACTGGGATAGCAGAGGTCAAGTCAATGTACAGGGGACGCTTAGAAGGAAGCAGAGCTGAAGGCGTGCAGTGCATCTCCCCAGCTACTTCCAGGTAGAGGACCGGCGGCCCGTCTTTCCTTGCCGCCTGCTATACTAACCCTCTTCCTCCTCCTTCTCCTAACAGACCTCAGTTTCTCTCTCCATCTGACTGTTTCGCACTCTCTGCATGATAAGTGCACTCCGCTGGTGCTTCTCTCTCTCTCACTCTCTCTCTCTCTCCTGCCTGCTTACTCCTTTCTGGCTGCTTGTTGTGTTTCTTCTTACAAAAAGCTTGCTCAGGTTTCTGGCTGGCTTGAGGGGAAGAGATTCAGCCGGTTGTGGAGTTGACTGCAGATCATTGGATGACAAATTCCCCCAGTTTAGCTCTTTATCCTCTCTTTTTTTCCCCCTCTCCCAGACTTAAGTGCCTCCTGCCTCTCCGACACTTAAAACTGCTTTTATATTTACAACACCCTTCCTCACACCCCTTCCCCAACCTGCTGGTTGGTTAAGAGAGAACGAAGGGGGTGATTTTGGGCCCATCCTCAGCACCTTTTTTCATTTTCTCCCTTTCGGTGAAGAAGCCCCGTATCCTCTTTTGTTCAGCTGGAAATAAGTGATAAAATATTCATGACCAGAAGCGTCCCAGAACGGATGAATCACAGACATTGGACAGCATGGACGCTTCCTGCCCAGTCCAGTTTTCTCCATCTTTAGTCCAAAATAGACGCAAAGATCTTGATAGAATCACAGTTTATTTAGGTTAAATCACAAATTCCCAATAGCAGAAAGAGTTGCAGGTACTTGTAGTCTAGATATGGTAGCTTATAATACTTTTGGCAAATCACCAAATAGCTTTATTCTCATTTCTTTGAAACTGCCCAGAACCAAATTCAAAAAACAAGGATTGTGTTTTGTCATTATACCAGAGTGTTACATACTTTAAATTACACATGCCGGATCACAGAAATTAAGTCAATCAATACAGACTTTCTTTAATCAATGGAAGCCAAGTGAAATCTTAAGTGTTATCCAAATATGTCAATCCTCAGATATGCTCCTAAGCTTTAAACCAAAATACCCAATCCTCCAAATAATTTGTCGACTTTTAATAAAGGTACCTCAAGTACTTCATCTCGTACAAAGATTTGAGATTTTTATTTGTTTAAATTGCAAATAATAGTTTTTTCTGGTCCCATTCTCTCTTTCCAGCATCCATATGCGCAATATAATTCCATGCCTCAAGGGCAAATATAAGTTTATAAAGAGCTAATATTATCCCTGAGAGCACATTTCATTCATGCAATGGTTTTAATACTGCCAACTTTCACTCTGGACTATGAGAGAGTCTCTCATAGGTAGTATTGCACTAACTCCCAATATACACGAGGTAGCCTTACTATAGAGTGTAAAGGACAAAGAGGAAGAGTAAAATTATCCACTGTGATTAAGTCACGCACTATTTTTATTTGCCTTTTTAACTAAGAACACTTCCATATACTAAAGCCAACAGATCAGATCCAACTAAACCTTGTCTCTTTAGTAATTTAAGTGATTTGCTGGCATCATGGAGAAATTTTTTCCATTATTGTAATGCAAGTCTCAATTTAGCAATCTCAGAATTTCTGACCCTATAAGCAGCTGCTGTTGGATTTTCTCTCTCTCTCTCTCTCTCTCTCTCTCACACACACACACACACACACACACACACACACACACACACACACACACAGCATTACATTTTTAATTTGGCAGCTTTCGTCTAAAACTCATAATCCAACTGAAAAAGAGAAACAGCTTTTCAAGATAGGATGATTATATTTCAAGTTATTCTGAAACTTGCTAGGTATTTATTTATCTACACAATCCATTCCTGGGTACTTTAAAAATTATCTTTTAATGATATTCTCATCAGCCTCTCCAAACTATGATTCTTTGAGGAACGATGCAATATTTAAAAATGTCTTTCATATACGAGAATTGCAGGTTACTTATATTTTATTTAAAGGTTTTACATTCCCCTCACTCTCTTTATGGCTTGGATGGCTAACTACAATGCTTTAAAATATACATAAGACCATTTTTAAATAAAAATCACAAATCCACAGCTATAACAAGGATGAATATGCATCCTCTAAATTTTTTCTGAAGCAGTTTTAGCACAAGGGTTATATGGAAAGTCAGAGATGCCTTATTCAGCATTTCTGGCTCCTGGACTGGATTATTTCTGGACCATTTTCACTGTCCATCCCAAGAACAGTGTATTTGTAGAGTTGTGAGGTTACTGGTTTATTCTCCAAATCTCTGTCATCTTATGATCAGGAAATAGATGCAAATCTGGGAAATAGCCAATCTTGGACACACAAGGAAGGAGAAATACAGATAAGTATGATCAGAAGTCTAGTGGCTTATAACCCTGAATGCGTGAATTATCACTTCCTGTGGATTAACATGGGGAAGTAGAATAGTTGACCCAAATAATTCCCAAGAAGTCTCAAGCAGAAGTCTTCAAGCTCAGCTTTTATTAGTATTTGGAAAGATAGGAGTTGAGCCATCACAACACCATGCCTCCATCTCAAAGCTGTATCACATGATCCAGCAAGATAACATTGGTAAAGTATCAAGGAATCCAGAAGCATCATCAGGTCAGTTCTCTGCCTATCATTCTCCCAAGGTAGATCATCCATCTTCATGATCAAAGACTTTCTCTACTAAATCTAGATCTGAATCCAGTTGGAAGGGTGAAATCAATGATTTCATCTGAGAGCCATCATCTTCTCTACCACTTTGACCAGTTTGGTCTAATGGTGAAGGCACCAGGCTAGAAAACGGGAGACAGTGAGTTCTTAGTCCTACTTTAGACATGAAAGCCAGCTGGGTGACTTTGGGCTGATCACCAGGAGATGGTAAGTTATGGTCCTGCCTTAGACATGAAAGCCATCTGGGTAACCTTGGTCCAGTCCCACCCACTTCACAGGATTGTTGTTCTGCGGAAAATAGGAAGAGGGAAGTATGTTGGATATATTCTCCACTATGAGTTATTTATAAAAATAATCAGGTGGGTACAAATAAATGTAAAGAAATAATAAATACCAGTTACAGCTAACACTAATTAAAATTGGCTGGATCCCAATGTATCTTTCTAGGAAGGTTTCCTAATGATTGCATCAATTATGTAGATTTTCTTCCTCAAAATAGTCCTAACCAGAGAATGAAAGATAATGAATTATAATGGGCCATTTGATGTGTGTGGCTGAAGTTCCTTATTTATAGATAACGGAAATCAAAGACTATGATTTATTTAATATTTAAATCTCTTCTCAATCCCTATTTTCCTCTCTGTTTTCAACCTTATAATAAAACTCAACTCTGAAAAAGGGACCTAATTATTCAATCAAAGCCAAATTACTGTTTGCATTCTTAAAACTATTAAGAAGTGATCTGAAGGCTTTTAGGGGCAGAAATATATCTTGCCCCTTAAAATACTACCCTGTAACAATGGATTCAGCATTTCAAAGTATTAAACTTGTTTTGGGATTCCTATCTAAGATACTTCCATTCCTTGCTCAGTACAGACAATGGTAGATGGGATTGCATTGATCCCAAAGAAGTCAAATTCGTTGAGTCCCATCTCTTAATCTGGTCGCCTTAAGTGTTTTGGATCCCTAAACTACACCAGAACAACAATGTGATTTGGTAAACTTAATTTCTGATCTTTCTCTGGGCATTTTTAGCTTCTTTGAGAGGAAATATGGCACAAATGGTCAATGGTATTCTGTGCCACATCTGATTAAGCTGTGTCCCACTCAGCACTTTCAGGACCCTGGACAATGACCCAGAGGCCTCTTCCTGTGCATGAACTAACTCTGAATTCAACAAAGGACCACAATAGAGGGCAATTGAAAGTGTTGATAGTTTAAGTTCTTGAAGGATCTACGGCTGTTCTTAGACCCTCATGCATGTCTGAGGGACAGAAGAAACTGAGGTAGCAATCTTAGGGTCTAAAGAAAGAGTTGTGTCCTCTTCTTGAGTATATTCAGAAAAGCATAGCAAAATTCTGCCTTAAAGTAGGGAAATTTATGACTCTCAGTGCTGAGTTTTCCTTTGGGTAATGCTGAGCGTCCTAAGTAGAATATATCACAGACACAGCCAACACTTTACACATGGGTATAATAATTTTTCTTCTCCTTAAGGAATCTTGGGACTGTTGTTTTGCGGGAAAAGGATCAACAATCACAACTAGAACCTTCTTGGATTTATTGCCTTACTGCAATTCCAATAAATCTCTACAATGAAGCATGTCTTTTAAACTAGTAGAGGTCCAGGGATGGGATTCAAAAATTTTAGCAACCAGTTCTCTGCCTGGTTGCTGGGTGGGCATGGCCATGGTGGGCGTGGCCTACTCGGCCTCCTGCACCATGGTGATGGGAGGGGGGCATTTTCATCCTCCCCAGGCTCTGGAGTCTTTCTTCAAGCCTCTGGGAGGGTGAAAACATCCTCCTCTGGGGTCTGGAGGCCCTCCGGAGGCCAAAAACAAGCCCGTTTACAGACTTCCAGGAGGCCCATTTTTCGCCCTCCCAGAGCCTCCACGCGGGCCCTGAACTTACCTGGCATCCAAAATGGGCTGTGTGGAGACTCCTAGGAGGGGTGGGATGGACAGGGCCAGCCATTCCTTGTAACTACCGGTTCGGTGAACCAGAGTAAAATTAGCATCCGGTTTTCCCGAACCAATCTGAACCGGCTGAATCCCTCCCCTGTTGAGGTCCTACATTAGTGCAGGTGTGGAGAAATGTAGACAATATAGGTTGCGTTCATGCCTATGTTAAGTGTGAGATTTGTTTCTGTTCTTCACTCTCGTCCAAATTTTACATCTCTACAGTTTGGTTAAGTATTTAAACTTCCTCTATTTCTCTAAGAGGAGATTTCCAAGAATTCTCCAACATTTCATTCATTACAGAAGCATCAGCACATGAGAGAGGAAAATGAGAAGTCGGAGGGCCTCTCCTTTCATAGTTGTGTTTGATTTATGCTTTCTCAGTTTTGAGAAAAGCCACATCGTTCATTTTAATCTGG